GAGAGAGAGAGAGAGAGAGAGAGAGAGAGAGAGAGAGCTGCAAAAGGAGAGAAAAGTACAGGAGACAGAGAGAAGGGCCCTGTTTTCAGGCAACATGCCTTTGTTTGACCATGAGAGGATCCATAGGCTGCGTTAGATATGATTTTCATTTTCTGCATGTTTGACATGATCTGAAGGAAATGTGTGCATTTTTGGCGAAAGAAAGAAAAAAGACAAGTTCATTCAGAATATTCCGAGCCTGTTTAGATAGTAGATCATCATGCCGCTTACAACATAGCCGTTTGTGCTGCGTTAGGCTGTTAGCAACTTAGCACAAACCTGACCAATTTTACGAGGAGGTTCATGTGTTATAGCTTCTAGACACAAATATGGCGATGGTGGGTATGCCTTACGCTTCCTCTCCATATCAGAGAGGGCAGATGGCCTCCCAAATCTCTCTCTCTCTCTCTCTCTCTCTCTCTCTCTCTCTCTCTCTCTCTCTCTCTCTCTCTCTCTCTCTCTCTCTCTCTCTCTCTCGTTTGTTTCTGTTCTCATTCCGCGGCTCATTTGTTCATTTCGTTTTTTATCTTTCTCTTAGTCATTTCTCATTCTCTTAGCCCATGGTTCCTTTTTTTCATGGCTACGTTCGGACACCTGGACAGGGATCCAGACTGACCGGAGTCTGGTGTCTGGTCCAGGTGTCCGGATCCTGGTTCGGATGGTTGGAAAATTGGGGGTGGGCCCGGGTGGCACAATTGTGTTTTTGGCGACTCAGGTCGTTTTCTTCCATTTGGTGAGTAGTGGAGCTTGGCTGTTTATGTGGCCCGTTCTTCAGAGGAAACCACCATTTTTTTTAATTATTATTTTTTAATCCTTGTTGTTTGCAGAAGGGCATGACTGTGTCCGCTCTAATGCGCTCGTATCTTCCCTGGATAGGATGCTTCGTGCATTCCTGCCAAAAACAACAAGAACAACAACAACAGAAGAAAAGAAAAAATGAGCACCCTATTTTTATAAAGAAAACAGCGGCCACCAGAACAGGTGCCTCCAACGTATTCAGGGACTTTCCGTCCCCCATTTCTCCCTGCCTGCCACTTGGTGGGCCCCATGTGTTCTGTTTGCTTTGATTGCTTTCTAGTGGCCGTTGGCGAAAGGCTAACAGCATGATTCAGCCCTCTGTGGCTCAAAAGTACACCCATGAACTGTCGAGATGCAGAACTGTGTGAACGTTGGAGTCATTCTCCTCTTATCAGCGTGGCTGTTTTAAGCCATGTGATCTCACAATCACACAGCCCAAAGCAGCCACGTTGAGGTTGTATCATCGTAGTGATTTCTCCCTTCTCCCCCCCCCCCCCTTTACCACCAAAATATTGCAATCCGGACACGAATCCAGACAGGGCATCTGGACATGTCCGTCTTTTCTGGAATATTCTGGTTTTCCGGTTGTCCGGAGAGGGTCGGGAGGTCCGGTATTCCGGGTCTGGATCTGGTCTGGTGTTTGGTCTGGTGTTCCGGGTCCGGATCTGGTCCAGTGTTCGGGCCGGTGTAGCTATGCTTTTTTTCACTGTTTTTGTTTTTACTTTTCGTTTTCCTCTTATTCAGCTTTTTTTTTTTTTTTTTTTTTTTTTTTGGGAAAAAAAAAAAACCTCACGGTTCTTTCTCCTCCCATTCTGGGGAGCAACAGTCCGGTTCCTTTTTTTTTTTCTATAAAAATACAGTGGCTAATTTCGACTTTGCAGGGAAAGTAGCAGAGGGCTACGTACGAAAGCTCGGATAGTGACAAAAAAAACAGGGCTATGTAGTATTTAGAAGATGGATCATTCGGACGTCTCCACAGCTTTTCAATGCGCATGCGCTGAGAATGAGTTTAGCGTTGATGCAAGGCATTCCATACTCCTATTGCTCCAGCTTGTATGCTCTGGTTACAGTGGTGGTAACGGTGTTTTTCTTCCGGAGGAGTCTGCACCGCGAGGAAGGACACCCATGGATTGCGTCATGGATCCTGAGCTGGTGGACAGATTAATTGGAGGCGACGAGGCAGATGCGGTATAACTCTCGTTTCTTTTTCCTGAGGGAATTCCGTTACTTGCACCTAAGCTCGCCTTAGTCACACACAGCTTGTTTCTCACACAGCCCTTCACACTCCTCTGAGATCTGTATGCGATCATTCTTGATGAGCATAGCAGATAAGCATGGTAACCGTCTTTTGCTTTAATACTTGCGGATTGCTTTGCTGGCTTCTCCATAAAGCACTCACACTGCTATCACTCACACTGCAGCAAGACGACGTGGCGGAGTAGGCAGAGAGCGCGGTCGAAGTCTCAGCATTCGTACTGCTTGCATTCATTGCGCTGTTTCCTCGCTTTTCTCTACCATCTCCCGACTGTGCCTCCTCATTCTCAGTTTCTATTGACCAAGCACGTTGCAGGTGTTACTCTCTGAAGACGCAGTGAATTCTGGACAGCGGCAGAAAAGCGCTTCAGGGATTGCCACTACACTCCGTGTGAATGGCTGTCGGGGTTGGAATCCCATATTCAGTGGATCCACCTTTGGGGATGCGCCCGAGATGGTTTACTGTTCGTGCCCCGGCAAGTCAATAATGAATACATTAGGGAAACATGCACGCCCCTCCCCGTTATGGTTGAGAGGACCGAGTGGGCGGCATTGATTACTTCCCTGGGGAAGGATCTACCACCCCTCACCCCTGCCTAAGTTAGCCTATTTCAATAATCGCTTGGACTACGGCGACTCCTCACTCTTGGCTCCTCTCAGCTGAGTATCTGTCTGATTGACGTGGTAAACAAGAGCGAGTGCGAGGAGATGGCTTCTACGGGCTGTGTCGAGGCTTGTTCCTGTCGGAATCTATTTCCTGCGGGCAGCTGTTCCTGATTTGTTCCTTTGTGCAGTCCATTATATCTCCTGACCCTAACAAAAAGTTCCAAGGGTTCCCGGTCTAATGCCCCAGCTTTCCTAGTTAATCCTGACTTCCGCATCCAAATCCCGATAAGGAATTTGGGGGTCTTTTGTGCATCGATCCTAAACCCTAAACCCTAGACCCCTCGGCTATTCCTCTCCTCTGGGTTCTGGATACCTGTTCAGATTGGGACTGCACCCTTGCTTTTTCCTACGAATTGGCGGGGAGGTGGGCTTATTTTAGAGACTGGTGTTGTCAATCCGAGTCCATTGTGTCACCTATTGAAATATCCGTAGGTGGGTCCTACTTCTAGGGGCTTCTATCCCTTGTGTCCTTAGTTGGGTATGTCGCCATTGTGCGAACCACAGTTTGTCCTGGTCTATTCTAGCTATCCTACCTTCTCCTAACTGATCTTTTACGAAAGTTTCTATTATTTTATCCATGTTTGTGATACTCTCTTCTATTTTCCTGCAGGTTTTCTTCCACCGTCCTCTATACTCAACCTCTATCAGCTGCAAAACTCATTCCCAAGCTTCTAGGGGTGACATGGTTGAGTGATCAATCGTTTCTTGGCACCTGTGCTTCCAAATCATCCATAAGGTCGCAAACCTTAAAATGTGGAAGAAGGAAACTTTGAATCCTTGCCATGAGTTGTGGGTGTGTAAGCCAAATAAGAGAGCGACCTGGTCCGATGGCATTGTTTTGTTAGTGATTGAGTGCCAAAGAAGGGAAGCTGATGTGCAGAGCTGTTTGGCTTTCTGGCAGCCTAGTAGACAGTGTTCTATATCTTCTGGCAATCCCTCGGGACAAATAACGCATAGTTCCTGCATAGGGGATCTCAACTCAGCATTCCTTCTCTTGTTCAGCCATCTGTTAACTGGGAGGGCCCGATGGGCGAGTAGCCATTGGAAGCTTCTCATTCTGCTAGAGGTGATGGCAAGTAATCTACTCCACGAGGTGACGAGGTCGTGGTTCGGTGGCAGATTGAGGTGGGTTTCCCATCTTTGGTTGATCATTTGGGCGATTGAGACCTATCTCATTCTTAGGGCATACCCCAACTTAGTAGAGTATTCTAGAATGTTGTTACATTTCTCTATTCTTAGTCTGCCCGACTTCCTCTTCCAAGCCCATTCCGCGGGGTCAACTTCCAAATCTGTGATACCCACGAGAGGTTTATATATGCGTCGTTCCTAAGTTTCCTCATTGCTTGTTCTGGAAGGGCGATTTCTCCCGAAGGGTTACGACCTAAGAGGCTTGTGGTTGAACCTGGGTCTTCGATTGAGTATATGCCACATATTAACCATGCGTTCTGTGGTCCCTCTCTTGAGCGGAATTGATAGGCGCTGGTGGGGATGTTTTGAGTCAGTCATGTTGCCCAGTCCCCTGTTCTCCACTCGCAAGAGCCCTTCAATAATTCGTGCCAGCTCTCTGGTACTGCGATTTGGATGTTGTTCAGGCTCGCTTGTAGATTGTGGCAGCCCCTCAAGGTTTCCCTTAGTTCTCCTACCGTTTTCCATCTCTTGTCTGAATCTTGCCAGAGGTGTTTGATTTGCCACACTCCCTTTTCTAACCAGGCCTCCCATTTTGTGTCCTTTGTGGTTAGGTTCC